CTAGTTTTTTTTTAGGAAAAAACAACTAAATTATTGCCAAAACACCATGTCAGTTGAACAAATGTTTCCAAGTGTTTTATGTTTATGGACATCAGTTAGGGATAGGTGCCTACTTGATGCTCAAATGCTATGGGGACACCAAGACTCAACACAAAACTACGAAGGTATGCCCTTTACTTAGACACCGACCTTGTCACGATCATACTTTCCTGAGTCGCGACTTGTTAAAGACTTAAAAATATGAAAAGACACGTAGAAATAGATGGTAAATTTTTTCGTATTTAAAATAATACATAAATACATTTTAATTTACAAATTTAATTTAAGTTGTAATATATTGGACTAGTAAATAAAACAATTTAAAAATATTTAAGTAGTCGAAAATGGTGTAGTTTTGTATGACACTTGTTCCATATTCGAGCCCATACTCGACTAGCTTTTTATTTACCTGAAAAACATGGAGTGAGTACAAAGACTCAGTACTTACTACTTGTAGGCTCTTAATCATGTCCCTTAATCATGTCCATAATGTATGTTAGGCTACCACAATCTTTTTTGTCATGTTCTTTTTCTTAACTTGAGAACTTAGATCCTTAGGTTTTGTGGTTGAATTTTGAGTTTTTGTTGTGATCTAGACAAGGACCTTGATCCTAAGTTGTTCTTCTTGTCTTTGGATCTTATTCTTGTTCTTGTTTCTTGTTTTGTTCCCTAAAGCACTTTCCTTAAGATTTACAGTACAAGACATAAATCGTTAGGTTTATGTCTAAGGTTTCATACGTCCCAAAAGATGTAGTCTGAACTTGTATCCAAGGCTTCATGTGTTCTCTGTGATATAGCCCGAAACCTAAACCCAATTTTCCTTCCATTCCAAGCGGTGTAGGTTAAAAACCTACATCTAAAACTTCTTATATTTCAAGCGATGTAGTCTGAGTCATGGGCATGTTGTACCATGGGGTATACTCGCTTTTGTGTTAACCAGGGACTTATCTTCGCTTCTTGTATCATGAGCCATGACATGTAGTCAATCTGGAAGTTATCCCTAACATGGCCCTAGATTACTCCCCATGAAAGACGGAGAATGTCACATGATTGATGTAAAATATGGACGTGAAATCCTACGAAAGTCATGACTAGAGCATCCCCTAACAAGGTGCAGGGAATCTCATCTAGGTGAGGGAAAACATGAGACCTGAACATGACATCCTGCTCAGAAAAACATGGTGCAGGGCATCCCACTTAGAAGAGGAAAATATGTGCCTCAAGAAGCACCGCGTGGTGGGAGGTTATCGGTCACCTTAGACATGATTAGAGTATTACTTAGCATTCTTTAATGTCTAGCAAATCTTGTTCCTCAGGAAGCACCGCATGGAGTGTAATGTTCTCATCTTGTTCATATCCTTAGGCTAGCAAATCTTAACAAACTCTCATGTGCTAACCCTAGGGTAATGTGTACTAGTAACACACCCCATCTTCCTGACATACTTAAAATTCATGGCCCTAAGTATACATATCTTATTCATGTAACAAGTCGTCCTCATGAGTTCAAGTTAATCGTGACACCATATTTATCGTAACTCTTGAGTTCATAAAATCTATGTTAATTTTTTTAAGGACGTCAACAAGAATATTTTTTTTTATCTTTTACTGCTTGATTCTTGGGCCATACATGAGTTTCTTTTAGCCTTTTATCTCTTCATGTTCTTGAGTCTGGGTGGTCGAGGGATTAGTGTTGTGCTCTTATGGTTTTAGTTATTTTTAGAGCCTAACAACGCATAAGTCCACAATTTCATAGGTCAAGTATATGTCAATTTGTCATAACAACTTGCGTGAGTCTTTATAAGGATCCTAACATGTTTCTTGAGGTAATTAGACAAAACCATGGATTTTTACTAGGCCTTTAGGGGTAGTTTAGTAATTTCCCTTTCAGTTTTGGCTTAGCCCAATTATGTTCTAATGTCCTTGGAAACTTGCATATGTACATCGTATAAGAGTGCATAACACATTGTGTTTCTTAAGGCCTTCAAAACATCTTGAATCCTTATCAGGATATTTTGGTCATTTATTTCTTCATTCATTGGTTTAAGCTCTTAATGTATTTCAAAATCCTTCAACTCTTGGGTAGCTCTTCATGTCCTAATATATAGTTCTTACTTAAAATTTTAGGCAATTTGGAGGTAGTTTGTACCTTGAAATAGCTCACGGTTGTTTTAGGGATATTTTGATCCTTTTATCTATAATTCATAATTTAGCCCCTATACACACTCACACGACCTTGTGTAACTGAAATATAACATATATAAAGTCTTAGGTCTTTTGGAGTTCATTTGGTTCATAAACTAATGCTTAGACATATAGGGCATTTTGGTTTTATACTTTTGGTTGGTTTAGTCCCTAAATAAACTCCAATAAATTTTAAATCTTTCCTATCACCTTTTACACTTTAAAACAAGCTATATATAAAATCTTAGATTATTTGTACTTCATTTAATCCATAAATCTATAAGTTAGTGCTTATGCCTTTAGGGACATTTTGGTCATTTTACACCTTATTCTTGCTTCAACTCATAAATGGATTTCAATCACTACAAAACTTCTTGAATATCCTTATATTTCTACCTAAGTCCCTTTTATTAAAATCTCATGTGGTTTAGGTTATGAACCGATGGTACTTTATTTTAGTCATTTTTGCATCCTAAACTTGTTCATGCTCCAAATATGATCTAATGATTCTCAAACTTTATATAATCCTTAAAAATCATAGAATAAGACATTTTTTAAAGTTTCATAACATTTGGAGGTCATTTAGAACATAAACCGAAGGTATATGATAATTTTACACCACTTGGTTTAGCTCCTTAATTTGTGTAATAACACAAATTTTCATATATAATCTGCTTAGCAATAAAATTTCATGGGGGAAGCAAAGTTGATTTAGAGGACTATTTTAACATTACTTAAATTCTAACAAATTTTTAGTGCTTTTGAGTCGCGAACTATTCCATCTACCTCAAGCCACAACCCTTGTTCGCCTGCATCCATCTCCTTCTTTTAGTTATTACCTTACAAGAATGAAGGGCATCTACTATCTTCACCAACCTTGTAGATTTATGTTCGCTGAGTTTAACAAGACATGTGTCATTAAGAATCGTTCAAAATTGTGGGAGAGGTACCATTTGACGTTTCTTACCCCTGAATTCTGCATTTCCATGTCTTACCCCTGTCTTTTATACTTGTGTACAATTGGATATAGGCCTCAAATGAACTGAGTTTCCTCACAAAATCTTTAGCTATCATTTTCATGAGGACGGTGGGTTCTGGCACAAAATTATGATTGTTGGAAGATGGCTAAAGGTTGACTATATTTTTTGGACTTTTTTTGGTGGTCAATTGTCTTCTAAATTGACTCGTGTCCAACGTTAGAGGCCATTTCAACTCTTGATTTTTCTATAAAGTTGTTCATCTATATACCATGAAACTATAGGATTCAATCTCATGAATTAAGAACAATTATTCAGCAACAAATCAGAGTTTAAAATAAGGGATTTGATCTTACTGTTTTCCAAAATTCTAACATTTCATGTTCTTCCTATTTTCTTCTCTTTTTCTATGTTAGAAGAATTTTAATCCAATAAATTAATTTTGTTTCGTTAACTTTGGAGAGAAATAGCTGCATTCAAAGTTGACTAAGAACTCATAAACTTACTGTTCTTAAGAATCATCGAAACACCGAGAAAGTTGTAAGAGATGAACTTATAATTACATAATTGAATTAAAACACATTTGGAGCATCTTAGCAGGAAGATATAGAAACGAATGGATAGAATTGGCACGCAAAATTTGGGGGCAAACTTGTCATTCAATTGAAATGAATGGATAAAATTGGCATACCCTTTATACATACTATCCCTAAACATATCTGACATTTGTATAAAGAAATAATACATGAATGAACCGAGACAACATTTGAATAACAGTATCTTAAGTATATAAGATTAAAAGAAAAAAAGTTAATCCTGATATCGAATTTAGAGCATGAATCGTATATCTCATCACAAAAAAGGTTAATTATGGAGTTTAGAGCACGAAAATAAAAATTTCAATGGCTTTTGCTACTGTAACCTTCCCGACCATGATTTCTTTTTTGTTCTAGTCACCCCAAACTACGATCGAGTAAATAAAAAAAAATTAAAATGGATAAAGAAATAGTGGGTTCCTTCGTTTCTATGGTTACTTCTTAAACGGTGAGGTCCTCTCTATACACCGGAGCTCCTTTTTTTTTTATTTCATCAATGTTATTGTTAACTTGTACAGTTCACGCTCTTTGGCTCTACCCATGAATTAGCTAGTAATTGGTCTTTCACACGAGATCTACCTATACAGGAACGATATTTAATTATGAAGATTAGTTGGGTAGTTGACCCTCTTAGTCCATTCCATATATCAAAAAAAAAAAAAAAAAAAAAAAAAGTTAATTTTTATTTTTTTTTATTAGTATATCTCATCAACTTGTTATTTAATTTATGTAAATAAAATTGGTGAAGTCAACGGCCAAGTCTATTGTCGTCATAACAAAAACCAGAAAAATTAAAAAATTAAAAAAAAAGGGACCCACATATTATCAAAATTTTGTGGTGAAGAATAAGCTTCGTCATGCAAATCACCTTCTTTATAGATGTAATGAAAGAAAAAGAAAAAAAAAATCATTTTCTGCTATTATATGATTATATATATGATCATATCAATCATATAAAGATAAAATATATTGGTATAAATGTAATTTACATAATATTCATGTCCATTATCTATATCTAACAATGATATTAAAATATAGTTTATATATTGACCTCCTTTATGGGTCTTTGAGATTTTGTTTGTTTCTTAAATTAAAAAAAAAAATAATAATAATAATAAAAGAATTCCCTTCATCCAAATAATAGAAAGAAAAAAAAAACAATAATTTATTTGCATTCATGTATAAATCTATGAATAAAAACATTGAATATCTCCCTCGAAAAATGTTATTAAGAATCACAATGAAATTCAATAAATAAAATACCCAAAAAAGGCTTTGATCTAAGAACAATATAGATGTGGTAATTATATTGTTGAGCATTATTTTAGATATAAATTCCTTTATTATAATGTATATGTTATGAAGCTAATGGGGGAAATGGAAGCTAATTAAAATTAAATAGTTTCAAAATTAGAGAGAAATTAAAGATCACATTGCATAAGATTCATACATCACCGCCGCCGCCTCAGCCGCTGGTAGAAATCCGGAGAAGTTTCCGATGAGGGGAGGAGGAAGAATCAGGTCATCAAAGTCATCATAAAAGCTACCAACAAGGTAGTCCTCCGCCGGCAGCTCAACACCAAGTGTAGTAGGGATATTATTATTCATCATTAGACTATCATAGTCCTGGCCGGCGGCGGTCGTGCTGTGGAGGAGGTCGGGGGTGGCTCCGGCGTCTTCGTCGGAGGAGTGGAACTTAGAGGGGTCGGGAAAGTCGGCATCTTGGCCGGTGAGCTCTTGGACCAAAGCCATGAATTTAGAGGCACTGGTTTTAACCTTCATTGGATTCGATATGTACACAACTTTGATGGGTTTCTTTTTGTTGTTGGGTTGTTTTGTTTTCTTCGTTGGCTTTCGTCGGCGGACGCCGCCGAGAGATGTGTGGTCGTTGCGGTTGCCGCCGCCGCCGCCGCCGCCGTCCATTTCGCGGAGGGAAAAAGTAGGGTTTTTTATTTTTTTTGGTGAGGAATTTTTGGGATGAAGGAAAAAGGGGAGAGAGTGAAGGGAAAATATAGGGATTGGAGGAGGGAGGGAAACCGACAAGAATTTAATTGGGAAAGAAGGGAGGCCAATCGCCGACAAGGAGCGTATGAGACGAAGATATTTTGGGGGAAATTTAAGGGCATTTAAAAGTTATTTAGTTGGGATTATTATTATTATTATTATTTTTTTATATTTCCTTTTTAGGCTCTCCATTATTTTTTCCGTCATTTGGAGTTAGGGTTATTAGAGTCTCACGTTCACTAATTAAGAAATTAAGAGGTAGATTCCTAAAAATATAAGAAATACTATTTTTATTAGTATAATACATATCGGAAAACCAAAAGTAAAGTCATAAAACTTATGCTCTAGGATGCAAAACCGAGAAATAGACCTCAATGGTTTTGCATTCTAGAAAGTCATAACCGAGACAAATTGCCCATCCTAGAGTAAACCATTGTAGATATTGCTTGTTCCTATCCGTAGTATCAAAATTTATAAAAAGTTGAAGTCACCAATATTAATTGGAGAGGATGAGAAACATAAGTGTGATTGAAAGTTCAATCCTTATTGATGTTCGTAGTCTTTAAATAAGATATAAGCTACCAACTAACTACTAAGAATAAGAAAAAAATATATTATTAACGTGAAAATAAGATAAAATATACAAAATATACTACTAACCAAATCAATATACTACCAACCATCTCTAAAAAATAAGAGAAAAACAAAATATTAACCGGTTACGTATGTATATATAAGATATATTTCATAACTAATTACAATTATACGACAAAATATATTTTTCAAATATCTTTATATCTTAATATTATCCCTCAAGTTTGAGAGTTTATGTCAATCACACTCATCTTGGCGATCTTCTCTATCTAATGAATGGGAGTCCGCCCTGCACGCCCCCACCCCGAGTATATGCTTCAACTGGAATTAAATAAGGGTAGATTGATACAATAGAAACCTCTGGTAAAATGGTCACTCGTAACCCAGTAGATAAAGTACATTACATAGTCCATTTTAGGGATTGACGACTTACTCATTCAGTGACTTTGACACTAGACGTTCCAAAAATGGGGTACTATCAGGTCGGGTGAATTCAATAATAGACACATGTTGGCGTTCCAGTCTTCCTTCTCCTTTCAAGGCCTATCCAAAACTGAATCCAGTGCTTCTTGGTCGTGAATATCTGAACTTGTCTTTCAGAAATTGAAATTGCTATTTTTCCAAAGCTTTAATGAAAATATCTGCCAATTTCATTTTACCTCAAACATAACATGATTTGATGATTCCAGCTTGTAACTTTCTCGAACTATATGACAATTTATTTCAATGTTCTTCGTACGTTCATGAAAAAATGGTTTGGCTACTATATGCAATGTTACTTGATTATCACAATACAACAATGTTGGTTCAGTCTTGAAGAATATATCTCAGCTAATATAACTCTAAACAAGTATTTGTCATACCTCGATACTCGACTACTGCTGATGATTTGGACACATTGGTTTGCTTTTTGGACTTCAAAGAAATAAGTGCATTTCCCTAGAAGATGCAAAACTCAGATGATCTGGACACATTGGTTTGTTTTTTAAACTTACAAGAAATAATTGAATTTCCCAAGAAGATGCAAAACCGAAAAATAGACTTCAATGATTTACTCTAGGATGGGCAATTTGTCCCATCTAATTTGATTGGAACAAGTGAATATCCTGGCTTATCAGAATGGTGAATGTAACAGGGATGTATTAAACCAACATTCAAAATTTTGAAGCTAGATTTGGTTGATTCCGCCAAACAAAGGAAATTTTGATATTTAAGAACAACTACTAAAATCGATGTTTCCCTTGACTCACTTGAGAGGTTTATGCGCATCGACTAATCTAAGCATCAAGTTCTTGATTACTTTAAAAACGTTTCAGAGGATAACCCAAACAAGGATATCTCATCACTTTGGCCAGCAGTCTTATGTCGCCCTCATGAAGATCTTGCTTTGGGTGAAATAGAAACAGTTGGAAGGAAAAATAGGTAGACAAGTTCTAATGGGGGAATGTGCCAAAGATAGTTGTTAGTGATAGTGGAGAGAGATCTTTTAATTGAGAGCCCGCTCATCATTTGATCATTCCATCACTTAACCCCGTAAAGATGTTGTGAAAGAAAATATGAACATTTTGAGCATGCCACCTTTGAGTTTTGGTGAGAAAATATGAAGATGCTTATAACGTAGTCTTGATATTGGACGATCGAGAACAGTTTGCCTACCACAATTCTCGGTCTAGGAGAATGATTGAGATTATCTATCGCCAATTCAAGATCGATATTGAGATTAGGAGACTATCTTTTGGTGACAAAATCTGGATAGCTCGCCACAAACATCTTGATAATGAATATGTTTTTTATTTTTGATATATCTTATGGAAGGTGATTCCAATTCATCTGTCATCCTCTGTGCCTATCTTTTATCACTTTTCTTTTGTTCTTCCTCTTCTCCTACTCTAATATCAGGTTAAGAATGACAAACATAAGTGAGATGGAAAGTCCAATCTTCATTGATGTTCACAAGGTTTAAATAGGATACAAGCTACAAACTAAAAATATAATATTAACCAAATCCTGAAAATAAGGTAAAATATACCAAATATACAACTAATCAAATCCGTCAAATAAGATAAAATATACTACGAACAAACTCTTAAAAATAAGAGAAAAAGTATTAATAAAGTATTAATTGATTACATATATAAGATATATTCCATAACTAATTAGAGTTATATGACAAAATATATTCCCCAAATATTTTTATATCTTAATACTTTCAACCTACTCCCTTAAGTCCAGTTAGATTTCTTGTAACGGCCTTAGATTTCTACTCACTTAGAGTTGTTGCCATCTTCGTTATGTAATTGTGCAGAAATAAGAGTTTAAACTTCATCTTAAAATACTGTCATGGATTTATATGTTCGAAAACATTTTTAAAATGAAACAACGAAATACTAAATGAAATAAATAAACATTAAAATTTAAAAAATATTTTATCTAACTTAGTCTAAGAAAATAAATGTAACTACCCTATGTATGTGTTATGGTCTCGAATTGCGATGTTGTTGTCAGTCGTATAGGAATGTCTTGCCTTTACCTGAAATACAAGTAATGCGTGGCTTGACTATTTTAAAAAATACTCAGTAAGTGACCCCACTATTGGAGTTAAATGCAAATACATACAATCATGAGTGAGTCCTCGATCATATTAGTCTATATTCCCTAGTCGGCTATCCTCAACGGGTTAATTAGATGTGTATTTACTATTCTACACATGGTCCACACGTGTGAGTATAGACCCACTAGTTAGTTCACGCACCTCCTGGGCCCCTTTCTTGTCGGGCGAGCATTCTCTAGTAGTTGTTGATGTCGGACACCCGTTTAGGAATAGCAACTGTTGCAGCATTATGATAGACATAATGATCATTTTCGTGCCTCGTAGTGTACGAGTCCATACTATCATAAAAGAGAGGTATTCCCCGATGCATGAACATACAATGATGCATGAGGTTCAAACATTTTTTTTTATTTATTATCATGTAAGACAACTCCTACCATTTTCCTTTCATATCACATCACTTTCATCCTAGCTTTCCTTGCATAATTTGGGGATGTGCATTATGTCAACACATTTTGTCGTATATCATTCATATCATGCATCATGTCATATCATATCATCAGTATACCATGTAAGAACATGTACTACATCGCCAAACGTGTTACACCATAACATTTATCATATCATCAGAGCATCACATCATAACACTTGTCATAACATTCACGTATCTTCTCGTAGTCGCATCGTATTACGAATATAGCATGGATTTATTATTTCATATCGTTTCATAAACATCTCATAGTCATATTGTTTCATATACATAACATAGTCATATCATTTCATAAACACATCAGAGTCATATTATTTCACAAACATATCATAATCACATCGTTCATAAACATATCCTGATCAAAGTGTTTCATACACATCATAGTCTTATTATTTCACAAACACATCGTAAACATATAACACCTACTCATTGAAAGACCGAATCACGAAAGTTACTACTATACCACATAGTTACATTCAAGAAACATAATACTAGGGAATAATTACAAACTCAAAACACCGTATATAAGTTCACAAACAACAAAAGTAAATGTACTAAAACATAGACTCGGATCTAGATTGGAATTCCTCGAGCCTCCAACTTATTTCACCACCTTGGTCACTCAGCATCATGTTTATCTAGAAAGAAAAACTAAAATAATTTTGATGAGTAATTAATTTAGTAGCTAACTTATTTTTTACAAATTTTATTAATCATCTTTCTGGTCATTTTTAAGTCACTAATGATTCATAATTTCTTTTAAGAGGATCTTTTGTTCATTAAAGAGTATTCTAGTTATTTCAAGGTTAGACAGTTAACTCTTTATATGCTTATCTAAATTTTCGAACATGTATATAAGACTCCCTCTCGGTCAAATACGACCCGTCTACTAAACTCTCTAGCAACCTGTAATGTCATATAATCCGACGGTCAGGATTCTCATTCTCTCTAACTTAGAACACAACATGTCGGCTAAGAATCCGCGGGGATTAACAGACTAACTATACTCATATATAGCCCATGACATAATTAACTCATAAGCATAACCTAGAGTTAAAACACTTTCATTCTATATTTACAGCATGCTCACGTCTTATGCACGAATCCATATATACATATAATCAACTCATAAGCATTACCTAGAGTTATAGCATTTCCATGGTGTATATATAATCAATTAACCACGTCACAAATACATATATTAAACTCCTAATGACATAATCAACAAGCTCACATATAGAAACAAGTTGAGAACTTGTTTAAAAGTCCTTACTTGATTTCGAATTTCTTTCTTCTTCTGGGTTTCTTTCTTCTTGTAGTGTACTCTTAACAGGGTAAAATTAGCCCAATCTCTCTCGACCT